GTATTATAATTTAAACAAATTGGCATATATATTGACACATTCCTGCTGGCTTGAACCACTGGTAGCATAGGCATGATTGTCTCATCAGGCAGCATGTTCACACTGGTGGTACAAGTGGATGTAATCACTTGTACTGGTCTTTTATCAGTAAAATTAATTTAAAAATCTCTAAATGGACCAAATCTAATTAGTTGCTTAAATCTGAATAACTACTACCCAAATATAAATATTAATAGTATTTATTTCATTGAATTAAAATAAATTTATATTAATGAATGATTTATTGATAATTATTTCTCTAAATTTTAACATGAAAATCTTATAAGTACCCCACTTCTGGTGTATGTAATATACATTTACAGCTGCTGTTTGTATTGCAGTCTGAGTTCAATTCCTGGACCATCTTCTTCCTCATGATCTGTTCAGTTGTTTGCCAGTGAGCGAGGTTGCTTGTAGATACAGATGGCACTCTTGACTTCCTCCTGGATGCAAGCTGTGTTCAAGGCATGGTTATCTATAAGCCTTTGTGTCTGTCCAGCCACCTCAGTTAATTTTGGGAGTGGCAGGTGCAGTGTAATTGGCCCAGCATCCAGGTCTCTGGATAGCAATAATGTTGGTAACACAAAGACAAACCAGATATCAGCATAAAGTAAAAAAACAATTAATAGCCACATCTATGCCCAGACTGGCAACCAGCAACAATGATAATGTTAAAGACAAGCTATATATTGGCATACCATAGTGGTGAATAAAAGGTAACACTGCATTATCCTTAACAATGGAAGAGGGATCTTCAATAACAATATAGACACAAAGACAAACCAAAATTAACATATGATAAATATCTACTAAATGCAACATGAATCATAGAACAAAGTTGTACAACCGTGAACAATGAAAGTGATTCAATAATAACATAAACTAGGTATCTGAAATTGATAATGCTTAGTAGCAGTAATAAAAATGAAGGAGTTGGGAAGGAAAAAATGAAAGAAGCAATATTGAAAAATAAAAAGAAGATGAGAAAGATGAGAGAAAAGTGAGATAAAGGATCCAGTTAAAGAGTAAAAGAAAATTAAGATTTACATTATTGTAACAGAACAAACAAGAGAACAAAAATTATTTTAAAGAACAATAAAACAAAGAGCAAAAGAAAGGAAAAAACCCTCAAATTCTCAAAAACCAACAAACAGAACAAGGAACGACCTGAAAAATTCCTCGATGTGTTTGAATGAGTGCTTTGCTATCAGGGCCTGCACTGTTGAAATCCTCCAGCTATGGGGGATGGACAATGAGCAACCACCAAGTCCTGTGTTGTTTCCACGCTCCCTGTGTGGGTGTGTGGATTCTGAGTGCTGCCCCGTCTTTTCTGCTAGGCATGGTCAATCACTGGTGTGGCGTCTGCCCTAGGGCTGCATTCCCTTCAGCTGCTCCCAGCGTCCTTGTCCTGGTTACCAGCTTCTCGCCTGTCCCCACCCAGAGAGCTGGGGCGAGTGGTCCAGCCTGCTTTCTTCTTGTCCCTGTTCGTCTTCAGTTTCTCCAGTTTCTATGTGATTTTTCATTTTTCTGCAAACAGTTTTTTGATTCCTAGAGCTTTTCTCCCTTTTAGGCAAGTTGTTGTTTTCAGCATCGTGAGTCCATGACCTTGAGAGGCTGTGATGTGCTGCCCGACCTCACACTGCCAGCTTAACTCTAATACATGGTTTTTAAACCACAATGTCGGCTATGATCACCCATGGATAATGTGTAATGAGAATGGATAATGGTCTAGAGCAGAATCTTTGGAAATGTCCGTAGTGAAGGGATGAGGAAAGGAAGAGTGTGCCTTTTAAAAGGGTGCTGAAGCTGAGTGCAGAGAGAAAAGCACCAGGGAAGTGTACCGCATTAAAGCCGGGAGAAGAGGTTATCTCCAAAAGCAAGGGATTGTCTGTGTTAGCACACATTATCAAGAGATTAAGGACTACAAAGTAGCATTTATCAGATTTCGTGACAAGCACATTTGCGGTTCTGAGAATAGTTTGATAAAGAGGTGATGGAAATATGGTTATATGAGGTTACGATGTGTATGCATTAAGAGAAACAGGATTTGACGTTAATCCAGGTATTTTCCTCTTCCTTGCTTTCCAAGTTGTATATGAAGCTTTTAAATGTGGAAACTCTTACTGACATTGAATTGCTCACATATGGGCAGGATACATGCATTTTAAAAATTATTTTCCTTAGGAGGAACCCACTAAATCTCATTGTTTATGGAACTTCCCACTTTACTCTGTGAGAATGGTGGAATATGTGCCATCGCCTTAGAGAGAGAGAGTGAGGTGCTAAAATGTCTTTTATCCTTCCATCAGTGACCTGGACTTTTAAAAACCTTTGCTGCTTTTTATGATTCAGCACTCAGGCCCAAATCTGAGTTCTATCCTTCTTCTTTTTCTGCTAACTCAGAAATTTTGGGAGTATTTAACATATTTTAGGTCAGAGAGTGAGTATTATGTTTATAGAGTGATAAAGTAGATTTTATGAGCCACAAATTAATAGCTGCACCTTCGCATTTCTAGAAGCAAATAAATAGTATAGGGATGAATAAAAAATTAATTAATATTTTTATAGTTACAAATTGTAGTGAGAATAGCCTTGCTTTTGTACAGTTATTCTCTAACTTGTAATTCAAAATAAAAGTAGATTTATAAAAAAGTAATAAAAATAATAGAATGAATTCTTTATATACTTCAACCAGATTCTCCAAATACTGATCTTTTACCACACTTCCTGTATCTTTTTCCTTTTTCTTAGAAACACTTTAAAGTTTGTAAGTTACATGCATGCTGACCCTGAACCTCTAAAAACTTCAATATGCATCTCCTAAAAAGGACATCTTGTCATGCAGTCATAGTGCAATGATCGAAATCAGGAAATTAACACTGATATAGTGTTACTATCTAGTCTATACACCTGCTGTCCTAAGATAGCCATTAACCATGTGACTATTTAAATTTAATTAAAATTAAGTGTTAGAAATTCAATTCCTTAGGTCCTAGTCACATTTCAAACACTAAGCAGTCTAGTGGCTATTCTATTGGAGAGCATAGATAGAGAACTCTTTCGTCATTGTAGAAAGTTATATTAGTAATGCCTTAGACTTTCAAGTCTTGCCAGCTGTCCTACCAATGTTCTTTTTTGCGAAGGAAAAGGAAAAAGTTTTTCTGGTTTGGGGCCTATTGCATGATTGCATTACATCTGGTTGTCAAGTCTCTTTAGTATCTTTCAATCTATAGTATTTTTTCAGAATGAATTTCTCTTTTAGGACTTTGACATATTTAAAGAGTCATAGGTCAATTATTTTATGATGTCCCTCATTTGGAGTTTGTCTTATGTTTCCTTATGATTACTTTTGGGTAATGGGTTTTGGTGGAAAATACCACAGAAGTAGTACTACAGAAGTGTATTTTTTCTGTGTATCATATTTGAAGGTTATCATACCAGTTTTTCTTGTTATTCTTTTTTATTTTAAAGATAAAATAATGAAAACATATTAACAAACAAACAGACATAAACCAAACAATACAGAATTTCAGACAAGGTGATAGGAAATTAACAATGGTTGCTGTATTACATATTGTTATCTTCAAATTGGTTATTCAGTTAAACAAATATAAGCATGCAAGATTTAAATTTTTTGAAAATTGTACTAAATTTGTCTAGTAAGTGTGTGACAAATGTTTAGATGAGTAAATATTAACTGTTCCTTTCCATAAAGCAATAGAAATTAGAGGTACAGTTATCTTAGCTATCTTGTGTATCCATATATACATATTTTTTCCTTTGTCTCCTGTTACTCTTTGATTTATCACTTTTTCCACTGTAGAGTTGGAGAAACTGTTTTATGCCTCAAAGTTAGTATCTTGTGAGGTCAAATTTTATGACTCTGCAAATATATTGTATCACTGATGATGAGTGTTACTTGAAACAATTATGATTATTTGTGGAATGGTATACTTTTTCTTTTTCTTTTTGAATTTTGTTTTGAATTAATTTAGATTTAGTTAAATTGATTAATTATTTTTGTGGTACTGAGGATTGAACCCAGGGCCTTTGCCCTGAGCTATATCCTTAGCCCTTTAAAAAATTTTTTTAAGAGAGTCTCGCTAAATTGCTAAATTTACCAGGCTGGACTCAAACTCACCATCCTCCTGCCTCAGCCTCCTAGACTGCTGGGATTCCAGCAGTGCACCACCACAGCTGCTTAGACTTGTTTTAAAAGTTGCAGAAAGTTGTACATCTTTTACCTTAAATGTTAATGCCTCACATAATCATAATACCATTAATGTACAACGTATAGAAAACAAAATTAACATTGATAAAATATTATTAACTCAATTTAAAAAATTTAAATTTTGCCAGTTTTTCAACTAATGTCTTTCATAGCAAAAGAAAAATGTCACTCAGAACTTTTCCATATGTCCTACTTTTCTCATTTTGATCTAGAATCCCTCATATTTAGTTGTCATGTCTCTCTTAGTCTCCTCCATTCTAGGATGATTCTTCAGTCTTTGTTTCTATTTCATGAAAAAATGGTGACCTTTTCCCTCATTCTGACAGTAATACTGCATTGTTAGTTGGAACTATAGTTTCATAACTTTCTCTTTTCCTTTACTTATTGTTGTTGGTTAGGGTTAATGGATTCCTCCATTCTGTGTTTAAATTCCATTATAATTACTTATTTTGATTTAACATTATCCTAGATCTGACCAGTGAGAGCCCTTTGGTCTGGTTTATATTCAGGATGCACGTATCAGCCGATAAAAATGGGACAGCATTGTGTTGCCGTACTGTAACATTTAATTAAAAGCCATGTGAACTATGGGCGTTCTTTATTGCTAAAGATCTTTAAGGTACTTAAAATATTTAAATCATTATGTATAATTCCAAAAAAAGCAAAGATTGTTATATGGTTGCATCTCATTTCTACATTATCCTGTGTCTCATACTCCTTACTGAAAACAAGATTTTCTTTCTTTTTCTCTATTTTTGTTTGTTTTTTGTGGCGCTAGATGCTGAACCTAGTGTCCTGTGAATACTAAGCAGGCGTCTAGTACTCAGCTACCTCCTTAGTCCTCAGGATGTTTTCACTCGCTTCCCAACTTTGTCACTGTTTAACTTGGGCAAACATTAACTATTTCTTCACCTTTCAATTTTGAGGAAAGCTATCATATCAGCATTTATCTTGGGTTGTTTGTGTATGTGTTCTGTTGGTTTGCTTGTTAAGTCCCTTGACTAAGGTCAGCGCTAGAGAGTCAAGGTCATGCTGAATCAGGGTTAAAACTGCAGTTCATTCATATAGAGAAGTGTCTCTTTTGGAGGAGTATTTGAAAGTAGGGGTGGGAACAGCTTCCTGGAAAATCAAAACTGTGCACACACTCGCGAGCAGCATGTTTGGCACGTCAGCACTCAGTAAATATTTATTGAATGAATTAATAATAGGAGAGGAAGGGCTCACTCCCCTGTTTCATTTATGTTTAATTTTTTAGGTCACTTTTAGTTATTTTTCACATGTGGGCCAATTTTTCTTTTAACATTCTGCTGTCTGAATATTTACAGTCATCAAAACATTTTAAATGTATCGTTTGAGAAAAAAACATGTGGGTTGACGCTTTCAAAAAAAAGAATTGGAATTTCTTGTAAAAATATCAGGGTGATTTGTTTCCTGCATTGCTGCAGTGTTTAATATGTTAATTGGATGTTGTCGCTCTCTCTTGCAGGTGGGAGAATGCTTGTATTTTTAAAACTTATTTAATGATAAACCAATTTTATCATTTTTCTCATTTTCTAAGGGACTATGATGTTATGGAACATAATGGTAAATGTTCACCTGATCTTTTAAAAATCTGCTTTAAGTTTCTTTAGGCTGAATCTTTTGTTTTTATTTTAAATCATTTAAAAAATTCATCTGCTTTATATGCTTGAAATGACTGTTCTTTATTAATCTAGACACTCTCTTCTCAGCTAGCTGACATGACCTAGAAAGTTCATTGATTTCTCTAAAGCTGAGACTGTGCATTAGAAATAGCCTTAAGGAGATTACTCATTTAAACATTTGTCACACACTTACTAGGCAAATTTAGTACAATTTTTCAAAAACATTGAAATCCTTTGTAAGCCATTCTACACCTTGGTATAAGATGTTTCATAACTCACTTAGAAAAAGCAGTAGAAATTTCAAATATTCAAAGAATGTTGAGTCAGTCTCTTAATGACAAAATTATACCGAGTAAAAAAAATGTCCATAGAAATAGAACTAAGCGGAGTCTATATAAATAGTAATGTGAAGAAGAGTGAATTCCTTTTTAGCTGTAACATCACATTTTTTGCATGTTGCACACATTGTTTAGCCGTTTCTAAACACATTTCCATTTACGTCATTTGTAAAAATTGCCTAGCCTCATATTCTGGAAAACTGACAAAGTTGTAATGAACAGATGCAGATTCCATAATTGTAATTGGCTTTTACTCTCATTTTCTGGCTCATACATCAGTAATTATTTCTATTTATCTCCATTTTTTTACCTTACACATTTGAAAGGGTTTCTCTCAGGGTGAAGCACTATTATTGACTTTTTTTAAAAAAAATCAAACTTTATCATGTTATGATGTACAGGCTCTCTAATCACCTATATTTAAACATATAATTTTTGCGTGCTTTTTTATATTTTCTATGGAGTTTTTACTTTACATAATGCTTTAATTTTCCTTCTGCATTTCTCAGAGAACCACACTGATTTTAAATGTAGCCTCCCTTGTATTGTGTTTTTGCTATTATCAATAATTTCTTGTTTTAAAATGAGACATTATAGGATAAAATTTATCCATTTTATGTTTTTGGCAATCAAGTCTCTCTTTAGAATGAATAATAAATATTAGTGGGACCCCAACCACTAGCAAAAGATAGATTTTTGTATTACTTGTTTTATTCTGATAAGATTTCCCAACAGTACCATTGAAACAACTGTCAGTTTTCAAAGTAGGACTTGGTAAATCTCTGGTGGGTTTAAGGGGCCCAAAAAATCTGGCTCTGTAAATAATGCGTATACATTTTCAAATAAATCTGAAAACCCTAGTCTTTGGAAAGCTATAACAGTTTCTGACTATAGGTTAATTTTGTTCTATAAGGGGAGAAGAGAATATTTATTAATATAAATATGATAACAATGACTGCTTTAATTATTTTTCCAGTGTTTATGGGTTCTTTTCATTAAAGTACCAAAATACAGAGAAAGTGTTTTGGCATATTGTTGCTTGTTGTAAGGAAGATTTAGTAGCTTGTTATGGACTATTAATATGAACAGAAGTCATTTAGAGTTCAGATATATATTTAGAACTAACATGTGTGCAAAAAGATACAAAGTGAATCAAGAAATTCTAGAAAAGGTTGTTTGAAAGGAGAAATTACTATTTTTAAACTCACACTGATTAAATGAATATGGACAAAAGATTTAAATGTTTTCTTTATTTTGAAAATTTTTGTTGAGCCGCGAATAGCAACCTAGAATTGATAGAATTAAATTAGTGAAAGTATGAAACATTTTATCTAAAATAGTAGTTACACAATTATAATTTGTAATTAAATTTCAAGTGTAGTCTAGGAATCCAAAGTGCTTATGGTAGTTGTATGAGATGATTACAAACTAAACAAAACTATCTGAGATTAGTAGTAAAATGCTACTTGTTACCGTTCATAACAGATTTTAAATAATAATGATATAAACTAATTTTCTCTGGCCTGAAAACGTCTTTATAATACTTTTTTGCAGAAAGAAGAAAAAAAAACCCTTCATTTTCCAGATACTTATTGAACAAATCTTAATAGGAATTCAAGTGAATGATTTGTTCTTCAACTTCTAGTTTGGTGATTTAAAGTTATTATAATGTAGACAGCACAGACTAGGTAGGTTTGATGCATCAGTTTTGTAGCATATGGTAAACTAAAACCCTGGTGACCTTTTGGTCTTGTGATCACATGCGTGAAGATGATCATCTGTTAATCTCTAGTAATCACTAGTACATCCTTATGCAGCTGACAGAATGGTTTTTACTTATGCTACATTTACTCTTTTGGAAAATGTTTTAACAAGGGATTTTTTAAGAAAATAATTTTATAATACAGAATTGTAAAATAATGAGTATTTATATCTAAGGAAGATAGTTTTAAAGTAACACTTAGAGTTGTTGACATATATATGTGTCCATATTTTTTGAGTTCTGGACATCAAGAGTCATAGACACATGAATGATTGTGTTAGGCTTGTCGCTACGCAGAGCTACATGTACACATGCACTCACACACTTTCATATGTACAATATGTGTTATTTTCTTGTAGGACTTGTAAACTTATACCTCTCATACTTTGTTATGCAAATTCTTGAATCTTGTTAAAATCCAGATTCTGGGTCAATAGATGTAGAATGAGGTTTGAGAATTTGCAATTCCAGTCGCTCCCAGCTCATGAATATTCAGCTACCTAAGGGTCAAAAAACTTTTTTCTGTAAAGGGTAGGTAGCAATGCTTATGCTTTGCAGGCTCAGAAGCAAAATTGAGGATATTATGTAGGTACTTACATAATAAAAAGAAAAGAGGTGCCCACAAATTTTTTACTGATGAAGTGCAACTAATAATCATAAAGAATTTTTTGTGGTGTAGTGCTATAATGAAAAACACTACTAAGTAATACAGTGTAATCATTTATTGATGCATGCAACTACAGAAACAAATCTCATAACCATTATGCTGAGTGAAAGAGGACTTACACAAAAGCTACATACCGTGTAATTCTATTTATATGAAAGTTTTAGAAAATGCCAATCACCAATAACAGAAAGCTGCTCGTAGTCCCCTTAGGCTAGGAGTTGTGGGAAAGCACGGGCACCTAAAGGAACTGTTTGGATGGTGGAGATGTTCTGTATCTTGGTTGTGCTAATAGTAATAAAAATGTTTCCTGTTTTTCAAAACTTATCAAACTTGTGGGAACCAGCCCACATACTGTGATGACACTCAGACCTGTAGAAGGGTCTGTTTGGCTGGGAACTAAAAGACTGTTAAAAACAGCCTGCAAGAGCTAGGTGAGTGAGCCATCTAGAAGCAAATCCTACCATTCAAGCTTTCAAATGGGGGCTGGGGATTTAGCTCAGCGGCAAAGCGCCTGCCTGGCAAGCACAAGGTTGTGAGTTTGATTCCTGGTACCGAAAGAAAAAACAAAACAAACAAACAAAAAGCCTTGGATAACAGACTAATTTACAAGAGACTTGTAGTCAGAATCACCCAGCTAACCCATTCTTGAATTCCTATCCATAGAAACTTGCAATATTGTTTTAGACTTGAAACAAAGAACTCCACAAACCATTCACTTTAAATGGGTGCACTTTAGTTTATTGTTTTAAAATTATATCTTAATAAACTATGTTTGAGAAAATTGGCTGAGAGTCATTAGCTAGGATAATATATAAAACTACATTATAAATTATAGATCGTTGTCCAAACATGTTATCATTGTTTTAAATACTTCCCAAGAGTCCTTTACATTGTAGATAGGGCAGCTAATAACCTGTATCTCTTCCATTAAGAGACTTATTCTGAAGTTTTACCCAACTAGTGTACATTTAGGGTAAATACCAAGTAATCATTCACTTGACTAGCTGGGCATGGTGGCACACACCTGTAATCCCTGCACCCTGAGAAGCTGAGGGACGAGGACTACAATCTCCATCCCCACCTGGGGAATTTAGTGGTTTAATGGGATCCTGTCTTAAATGTTTTTAAAAAGGAAAGGTTAGGGATGCACCCCCCCTACACACACATCTTGATAAACTTCCTTAATAGATAAGTAACAAGTAGGGATTTCTCACCGTAGGCTGCTTGGGGGTCCAGAACCTAAGTATACAATGGTTACTACTTGACACGTTCAAAAATATAGAGAAATGAAAAATATATTGAGGTATTCTTAAACTAATTCAAAAAACAGTCACAGGGAAATTACTCCAACTTCTTTAGATTGTTTGTAAATCTCTTGTAAAAATGAAGTTGTTGAACTAGGTGATCTTAACTTTAAAATCTATGATTCTAGCAACTAATAACCATAAAGATTATATTATATTATATTGAGAATATAATAGGTAGCATAAATATAGTATTAAAAAGATGCTTTTGTATCTGCTCTCTTAGGTGCCATGAACCTTTAAAGATAGAAAGGTGGGATGTGCTCCTAAAGCCCTAGTGTTTAAAAGGAATACAAACCTGGTATAGAGAGTACCAGATCTATAATAGTTCGACTCACACATTTTTGACTTTACAATGGTGTGAACGCAGACAGTTCAATAGAAATCATGTTCTGAATTCCCATGTTTTCCTGCACTAGCCATGAGCAGCATGATACTCTCCTGTGATGCTGGGTAGCAGTGTTGAGCTGCAGCTCCCACTCAGCCACTCTATCACCAAGGTGGACAACTGATACTGCACAGCAGTGGTGGCAGAACTTTTATTAGAGTTCCAGTGACACAGACAGGCTGCTGTGGCACGCATACTGTGGGTTTGCCACTACTGCTATGCTCCGTTGCTAGCTAGGATACTCAGTAGGTTGGGTGTACTAAATGGATTTTTGACTTAACAATTTTTTAAAAATACAGTGGAACACAACTCCTTCATAATTCAAGCAGGAGCTGATTTTCTTTGTTTTTATTTTTTAGATGAGTTGCTACTATGTTGCCCAGGCTGGTCGCAAACTCCCAGGCTCAAGTAATACTTCTCCTTCAGCCTCCCAAGTAACTTGGAACTACAGGTGCACAAACCACACCTGACAGCATCTGTATATTAAAAACAGGCTTCAGGGCTGGGGATTTAGCTCAGCGGCAAAAGCGCCTGCCTGGCAAGCGCAAGGTCGTGAGTTCGGTTTCCAGTACCGGAGAAAAAAAAAAAAAAAAAAAAAAAAAACTCTAAAAACAGGCTTCAAGTTTAACAACCTGAAGATATTGGTGCATTTGTTGGAGATCTTTGATTAAAAAAAAATAGTATGGTTTAAAAATACTTCTCCTTTTACTCATTAAAATCTTTTCAGTTCTAAAATTCTGAAGTTATCTGAATGTATATCTTACATTACTAGATTTTTACTCATGGTAAATGGGTGCATGTACCATAATCAGGGAGATACTTCTTTATAGTTTTTCAGATGTTTTTATCCTTATTCTGACATTTCATATCAGAAAACTAGCTTGCCCTGTTACTTAAGAACATCAGGGTTGTAATCAGTGACTGAAACAAAAGAAAATTTTAAAATTATCATTAATTTCCTAGTTTTACTTTTTTACATTGATGTTGACCTAGGTTTAGTATAGCTTTAGTACCATTTGATCTAGCTTCAAACGCAGCTGTGTTACTTATAAACTGTACAGAAGTTATTCAAATTTTCTAAGTCTTGGTTTATTTTCTTTAGTTAAAAATAAAGTAATTGAAGTGATAAAATTTATCTTATGAAATTGTGGATTAATCAAGCATTTAATGAGAAAATATAAGTGCCTAATAGTGAGAAATTACTTTCTTTTGTTCCCAAAAGTTAACAAATCTAACAATGCACCAACTATTAGACCTAAAACTGCACTGTTCTTTTATCACATATGAAAAACTATTACAGGACAAAAGTCAGTTTGATCCCTTAAAATTCATCCAATTCCATCTGCATATGATAGCACATTTCTTTGGCTTAATACATGGCTATTTTCTGTAACTTTTTAATATATGCTGGCTCTAAATAGACTTCAAATATAGATTAGATGGTCATACATTTTTATAAGCATATAATTTTAAGCTATCTTAGTAGTGTTAAACCATTTCTACTTTGTCTAACATTACTTAGTAGCTAAGTTTATAAAAAGATTTGAATGAGGAGGCAGTATTGTACTTTGTTCAGAGCTAGATGTAGGTTCAAATCCCATTACTAGACATATGATCTCGAGCTAGCTTCATAATATCCTAGACTAAATTCCCTCAGCATTTCAAATTGGTGATAATAATTAAGTATTTAGCATGTAATCTGGAACTCAAAAATGTTAGTTATATATCACCATTGTCATCAAGTAACAATTATAGATTTAATGCTGTATGTACTTAATGTTAAACTAGCTAACTCTTGGTGAGCTCTTACTCTAACCAGAGTTTTCAAATTTGTGTGAAAAAGAAATCTGTTTCCTTTATTCCAAAGTACATACTTTGTTGATGCTAGACCCACAGGGCTATCTTTATTGAAGTTGGCACATAACGTAGAAATTCTAAAAAAGGAGTTGGTGCTGCTGAGATTCTTGACTAGGAGCTTTACCTAATCATCACTGGTGGATTATGCTGGCTTGACTTGATGGAAAGTTTGAATTATGAGATATTAAAAATATAGTAAATGCCTTTGTTTACCATTTATTGGCATTATTACAGTGGCAAGCACATTTATGTGGTGTGTAAATATTACTATATTAATATTAATTTAATTACTATAAGTTGGTAGAATTAAAAATGGATAACTGTCTTAACTTTATCATGTACTAGCAAATGGTATCCCGAAGGTTAACAGAGGAAGCGATTAACTCACAGCTATTAAAAGTCATTTTTCACTAAGTCTTAATTGGTATAGACTCTAAAATGAAGTTCACATCAGAAGAATAATTATAGCTTTGTCTCTGCCGAGGCTTAGTGAACACAACGCTTCAGATACAGCTCTATTTTCTTTTGCACTTTAATTTTTACTTTTAAACTCTTCATTAAATGAACTTTTTCTTATTACAGTAATGGGTACCTTCCTTGTCCCACACTTCAGGTAATACAGAAAACAAACTAAAATTGCCCATAGCTCTGCTTCCCACAGTACCCACTCTGACACTCTGAGTATTTCAGTCTGTACTCTCTCTCTTTTTTTTTTTTTTTGGTTTTTCTCCAGTACCGGGAACAGAACTCACGACCTTGTGCTTGCCAGGCAGGCGCTTTGCCGCTGAGCTAAATCCCCAGCCCCTCTCTCTCTTTTTTTTTTTTGGTACCAGGAATTGAACTCAGGACCTTGCACTTGGCAGGCAGGCGCTTTCAGTCTGTACTCTTGTAGGCTCTATTTTAAAAACATATTCACATGCATATATATAAAACACAGATATCTGGATACTTACATACCTACCAAAATAAACATGCCAAGAACATATTTTTCCATTTTAGGGTATTGAACTTACAGTGTCCCTTTAATTATCAATTGCCATGTGACTTTTCTATTATGGTCCTTTTGGAAAAGTATTCTTCTATATAAGACATATAACATGTCAGCATATATATAGCATATACATAACAAAATCCAGAAATACTTTTAATTCAGATCCTTTCCACCTTAAAAATTTTTATAGGGTAGAATCTATGAGTTTTTTTCTTCTTGATTTACTTTTGGTGCTAGGCTTAGAATTTTCACTTCAAGGTTATGTAGGTGTTTATATTTTTGCTAGTTCTCTTACAGTTTTATTTTACATTTAGCACTTTTATCCTTTGGTATATACTTCAAGCACTTCCAAAGCCAGATCTGGACAGTAAGGATGCAGATATGTGGGTAAAACCAATAACTGTTACCTTCATTTAACTGTCCTGAAATATTTTCCCAAGAGTCCTACAAGTCCTAAAAGTCTAGAATTAAGAGAATGATTCCTCTTATCTTAATCTTGAAAGCAAAGGTAAGAAGTAAAAATATACCATTTTAAAATAAGGGTCATTTTGAGCTGAAGAGACTTGAAAAATACCAAGTGTAAGGAAGGACTCTGATCTCCACTCCCTTCTTACCTAAAAGCGGGTCCTAAGACTTCCTACAACAAGGACAAAGCTGCCCTCCCTCAGTCAGGAAGAGAACACTAAAACTGGAGATTAGGACTGGATGCCAAACGGATCTGTACAAAGCTACTAAAATAACCTTTAACTTCCACTACATTTCCTCAGATATTTTCTAGTTATTGTCTCACAATTTATTGCCCCTAGTCCAACACCTTTTGCCTTGATACACCCCCATAATTTATCATTCTTTGTTTCAAAAGGCATATAAGCTTTTGGGCCTTTTTGACTCATTTTTCTTAAAAGGATTTCTGTGCATGTACATATATATATAAAATAAGACTTCTATGCCTCTCTCCTGTTAATCTTTTTTGTGCTAGTTTACTTGTCGGGCACAGCCAGAGAACCTAAAAAGGTAGGAGGAACTTTTTCTTCCTTTATGCAAGAGAGGGAACTTCTTTCTTCCCCTACCCTAAGGTAGTGAGTCAGTCACAGAGCTTGAGATTGCAGCCTTCCAAACCAGGCCCTTTTGGAAGTGAAACAAAACCATTTCTCTCCTTCATGAGTACTTAGATCTTAGAAATGAAAGCTCTGTTATGAAGATTTTATTTTGGAAATTAGAAATAGGCATCAGGTTGCTTTTGTTATTATAATAACAACCCTGGGGACTGCATCTTTATTGGTGGTTTAATTGAATGGTTTTGCCACCTACTATTTTATGTGACAGTATGGATAGCCAAAGACCAGCATGGTTAGTTCAGGGTCAACTTAAGAGCCTGGCATGATGAACTAACGTCTGGGGGAACAAAACAGAGGAGAGCTGCATCCAAAAGGACTTTCTCAAAGGCCTTGTCTGCCAGTCCACCAATATAATCCAAATTGCAGGAGAATACTTGGAACATAGGTATTCTGATAGTAACAATTAATATTATTATATTATATATTATAATATACGATATACTATTATTATTAAATAATTAATGTTATATCATTATTATTAAATCAGCTGACATTCACATGGCTTGCCATGTTAAATAGTGTTATATGACTTTAAGTGCATTGATTTACTCGTTCTTCACAACCTATGAGGTATATATCGTTAATGCTTGTATTCACAGACGAAGAAATTGATGAAAAGGAGTTAAGTGACTTTTCTAAGGTCTAATGGCTATTAACTTCAGAACCAAGATACAAATTTAAGCTAACTGGTTTCAGAGTTCAGCTCTTAACCATTAACTTCACCTTTTACTTGTTTATTGTTTATGTTATTGAATAAATGAAGTTCACAAGTGAATTGTCAACATTAAAACATTGTTAGAGAGAAAAGAATTCAAGGTAATGGTGAAAAGAAATGAGAATGTATTTTCAGCCTGGAAGATCAGGTGAAGAGATGATAGTAAAATGAGCATCTAATATTGAATGTTAGATAAATACATGTATTTTAAAAACTGTCTTAGAAGTAACACTTTTTATGATTTTTATCATAAGTGACTCATTTTTTCCTGACATCTGTTGTCATATCTCAGAATAATTCACTTGGAACACTATGATTTCATTGACCTTCAAAAGCTTCTCAATATTCAAACATTATCAATGAAAACAAAGTTCTCCAGATTTGCTCAGACTACAACATGCAATTGGATATGTTGCATATTTATTATACAACATATAATATGTTGTTGGTATTTGTATATTTATTACTGATATTTGACTGACTGTAATCTTGACGTACTTTCCAATATTTTTTGTACTGTAGGAAATTCCTTTTTAATCTATTCAGCTAGCAAATTCTTACTAACGTAAAATTTATGAACATAAAATTTATCATAAACACTCTGATGTGACAAAGCAAGAAAAGTTTCAAGACAGCTTCATATATTTACGAAAATTATTCCACTGAAGGTCTTTTAAAAACTGAATTCAATATGTTAAAAGTTCAGAAAGTAGTATAAGTATCTTAAATTAAGAAAATAAACACAGGCCTGACCTCATGCCAGGTGCTTATGTACTAGAGTTAAGTCACAGTCAGTGTCTTCATTAG